GAAGAGAGAGGAAGAAGGAAGAGAGAGAGAGAGAGAGAGAGACAGACAACTGTGGTCATAGGCTCGCAGGGAATTGGCTCTTTCTTAAGTAGTCAAATTCTCTGGCAAGTTAAAAGGCACATCACGGTTAATTAACTGCTTATATAAAGGAACAAGGGAATTGTTTGGTTAGTGACAGGCGCTCCTTAAAAAAAAAAAAACTGGATCATGTGCTAATGACAATTTTGTTGCACAAAGTTTCCTATTGATGTCTATGGGACCAAAAATCACCATAATCTGCCAAAAAGTAGCTCCCGTACTTTTTCCAGACACACCAGCAGTCTTTGCTCCTATACATCTGACCCGCCATTACATGTTCCCTGGAAAAGGAAAGACAAAGTATCCCATTAGGTCTTACCTTTAGTGATGCTGAGAGTATTGTCCCCGCTGGCTACAAAGTCATACAGCGCAACAAACAGATTGGGGTCATTTTCACTTGGTCCCGATAAGAGGTTTTCCTTGGAGTTCCACCGAGCAGCTTCACTCAAACCTTGAGGCTCAAAGTCAGATATAGTTGGTCTTTGCAAGGCTTCTGTAGAGAAAACAAAGAAGAAACGTGTTATATTATAATGTCCAATATGAATATCACAAAGTCACAGCTAACACAACTCAATAAACATCTCCCATAATGTAACCGGTGACCAAAGTACAAACAGCCACCAGAAGGCCACAGCTCACATGTATTTGCATCCACAATGACAGACATGAATCTACATGGTATGACAATATTTTTTTCGATAGAAGCTGCAAAGTAGAACCACCCAATGATTGGTCAGGACTCTACTGGTGACATTTCCATGCAGAGTTCCCAGGTTTACACACATACTGTGCCCTTTATGAGGGGTTCCCACTCTCACTGCTGGATTTGATCTATTTTACATTATAGAGCATGTAAAAGGAGGAGCTGAAACTTTGTATGGTTGGGAAGGAGACCCAAAACGTCCACATGGAATGACAGAGGGACCTCATCTTGGGGTATGCAAGATATGGGTAGATGGAATCTCCCCTGCAGGCTATTGTATTCTGACAGATGGTGCCTGCAGCCGTCAGAATATCCAAACACCCGACTGTATCGATATAATCAATCACAAAATCAACTTTTGTCAAGCCAGATCGTACCGGCAGGCCCACCCACAGACTGAATTCCAACTGATTCAGCAGAAAACCAACTTTTGTGCCGGAATGAAGTAACTTCTGTCCACGTCTATGAGTGTTTCATCATCCGTGGCCAGCCAATGTAAAAGGCAGGGGCCTCAGGATGGAGAAGATCAAAGGAAGATGGCAGCAGCAACAGCGCAATGGGGGTGGGGCACATACATCACTTTAAATGGTACATTTGCTAATTCATACCAGAACAAATCCTGCAGGCTTTTCACATATTAAAGAAGGACTCCGGGCAAATTACAAATTAACCTTTGCAGCGGGGCTACCCCTGCACTGCAAGAGTTAATTGCTCATTTTGGTCAAAGGTCTAAAAAAAAAAAAAAAAGAAGGATATACTCACCTGATCCATTATCCTGCTTGTCTGTTAGACCAGTCCCCACAGCCTCTTCTCTCCAGGGTTCTGGCAGTCTAAGCCCTGCTGTCATCACGTTTAATACAAGTCCACTGCCTTGCATTAGACCTGAGCACGCCGAGGGACTGGGGAATCAGGTGAATGTATATTTTGTTAATTTAAACCCTAGACCAAAGTGAGCATTTAACTCTTATAATACAGGGGTAGCCCCACTGCAAGGGTTAATTTGTTCATTTAAAATGACCTTAGACTCCATTGAATCCATTCTAGCCACTAGGGGGAGCTTTCAGTGGCTCAGAACAACTACTATTGCCCCTTTTCTTAACAGCTGTAGAGCTATCAGCCACACAAGGAGTGCACTGCTTGTGATGAGTTGGTCCATGTATATGCTTGCATTGGGAGAAGCGGCTGTAAACCAATAAGCAGGAAGCAATACCCGTGTATGTGATGAACATACAAAGCTGCCTCCAGCTCCACATGTGATTACAAATGATACACAGATACAAGGTGTGTATGATACTGAAGACAATTGACTTCAAGACGATTTTTTAATGTTACATACATAGTATTTGAGGTTGAATAAAGTCATTAGTCCATCAAGTCCAACCTATTAGGATCTCATTCTAGGAGTACCCGTACCCCTGTATATTACGGTCCCTTAAGAAATCGTCCAAACGTTTCTTGAACAATTCCACATTATTTGCTGAAATCACTGTCTGTGGCAGTGAGTTCCAGACCCTAACCGCTCTAACTGCGAAGAACCCCTTCCCCCTTGTGCTGGAATTTTTTTCCCACCGATTTTAGGTGGTGGCCTCTAGTTTTTGTAATGGAGTTAATTTTAAACAGTTTATCGCTAATGTTGCTACCACCATTGAACATTTTGTACATGGGGATCATATCCCCCCTTAATCTCCTCACCTCCAATGTGAACATGTTTAAATTTAATGTCAATCGTAAAAATGTAAAGAAAAAAAGCGAGAAAAAGGCTGATGCATATTTTTAGATGAATACATAGGAGTAGTAAGGGGTGTTTATATTTATGTTGTGACTACAATATGGCTAACTTCCTGAAGGTGTTGGATACTCTGTGGTCACCTACTCTGTTTGCACAGTGTCCACTACT